AATCACAAGTGCATTCAGGTATGGGAATTAAGACAGTCAATTCATCCCATAGTCTTTTCAATTTAGTGTAATACTCTGAAATACTCATGTTACCTTGAGAGATTAAGCTAATTTCTCGCTGGATCTGATATAGCATAGGGCCATTACAAGTTCCAAACCTCTCTTCAATTTCCATCCACAATTCTCTAGCAGTGTTTGTGTATAAAAAGGCTTCAACGATCTCCTTCGAAATCGAGTTCAGTAACCATGAGGTAATCATATAATTGACTCTCTGCCATTTTTCATAATTCGGTGAAGTCTTCTCTGGTGCTTCAACACTTCCATCGATTAGCCCTAACTTCATCTTAGCTCCAAGGGCAATTTTTATAGATCTACTCCATGCCAAAAAAAATTTCCCAGTCAAAGGTGCTGTCACTAATGTCATTCCTGGATGATCCGAGCTATGAAGAAATAGCGGATCTGAAGAATTTATTTCAATTCGTCTTCCATTTCCTTGATTCATTTGGTCGTGCCTAAGTTCTTCATGAATCAGATCTACATTCTGATTTCCGTCCATGGCAGCTCGATTTTGAGCTCAGCTTCCTTTTCCTGTACTCAATTCGTAGCTCGTAGTTCAGTGATTCCAGAACCTACGTGCTCTGATACCATGTTCAAACCAAATGAAGCCAACAATTTTATTTATTCCCAATACGAATTGAAAGATTACAGCAAAGACTATTTATAGAAGAAGAGAAAGAGGGAAAAAGAAAACAACAAACTAACTAAAATTATTCTTATTACAAAGGAGGACCTAAACTATGTAAGAAGTACAATTAAGTCCATGAGTAATAATATGTATGTAATTCGTACATTAACCAATAATTATTATGCACACAGTTAAAATCTGCTTCTCCGAAAAGTCATTTATTATTCAAAACACCCTCCAAACCACAGCCTAAGACGAAGTAGAGCTTTCCATAAAAGATACAATGAGGAGGCAATGGCACGAGGTACGTCGTTCACTTTAAAAGTGCACAACAATAAATCAAGTCTATAACTTCTCCAATGCTCTTATTGTTTTCTATGAAATCAAAGTCCAACAATCATTCATTTCAGTTTAGGATTAAACAATCTGGATATATAAAAACCCAACAACTAGTTGAGAAAGTAACATTCAAGAAAATACATGGCCTTATATCTATCCACTAATTTAACCTTAAGATAACATAAACCATCTTCAATTTGAGCTTTAAGATGACATCAAATAAGCACCAACCCTGTCTCGAGGAATCAAGCGCAATTCCGAGCCATGTTTGAGAAAGACATTACCTGAAAGATCCAATCATTTATATTAGTTACGGAGTTAGAATTTTAACAATTATATTCCAAATGGAGTCCCAATAACAACAAATTTTTGCATTATATTTCTGACATTTTCAACAACAGCGAATTTAGAATTATGTAAAGATATCGGTCTTACATTAGAACTTACATAAAAATTAACATTAACAAATATGTGTCAAGAGATAGCAGAATTATGTGTGTACCACCATGGAGAAACAGAAAACAGTCAGAAAAGATCTCCCACACAAGTTAAAAGAAATGGTAAGATCAAAAGAACTGAAATAGTGTTCACTCAAGAGGATGAGTTTACAATATTTGGGCACGCATCTAACTCTCTTTTCACCATGTCAGGAGGAAATACAATTATATTCACTTCAATATCCTCCTTTGACATTTATTCAATAAGTATTTGACGCATAAAAATTTAAAATCAAAACCGGTTCTCATTTGTCCTGATTGGTTAGGAATTGTTGTTTCCACAACTAAAGTCCAGGGTTCGGGGTTCAAGGATTGGTGCCTCCCTCCCCCACTCTCCCGTTAAAAAAAAAAAAAAGGTAAAATCAAAATTTCTTCATGTTTATATATATATGAATCACATTTATTGCCTATGTTATGGGCACGATTTTTGTAAAGACAACTTAAAGCTTTAAGTGGTCACTACTGAAAAAAAAAACACAAAATAGATCCATTTTCTTTTATTGTGTTGAAGAGTACTTTTTGGAGGAAGGAGATGTGTAACAATTTTATAATTAAACGTAAATAAATGCTACAATTATAATATAATTAGTGGACAGAGTTCTATTACCTAACAACTTCTCTGCACATCGAACAAAATAGAAGAATGCTATATTGTGTCTTGCATAATGATATTGCTGGAACAAGCCAGAATCACCATAACCAGCCCCCAATTCCCAATCTACTACATTTAAAAGACAGAAGTTGGAGTTTACTGTTCACAAGCCGGTGGCTTCACGGCTCCGTCCAGCCTCGGCTCGGCTTCGCTAAGCAGCCGCAAAAGGGTAGATATTTTGAACAATTTGTTTTTCTACCTTTCCACACTCAACTTTCTGCTCCCGCTTTCTCCTCTCCGCCGCCTTCTTCTTCTTCTCCTTCTTCTTCTTCCCTCCACGCACCGCGCCTTACTGCTCCTAGACGTATCCTTATTTGCAGCTCCGGATCTAAGAGAGTCAAAGAAAGAAGCCCTAGAAATCCCCTTTCCATATTCTTCCCTCTCTTTCACAGATCATTGCACTTATATCTCGTCCTAATTACAGGCTTCTCGCCGTCACCTCACATCATCCACCAACTCTATCCACTCAATCTTCGCCGGTAGTCTACTACATCGCCTTCGACAACCCACCACCATCATCGACCCATTAACACACCACAACACCCCTCGACTCGCCAATAAATCCAGTCGACCAGACCCAGGTGCCGGCAACACCAAGTCGCTGAAGTCCAACCACTCCGTCGACTCAAGCACATACTTTTGCCCTAAAGATTCATCCAGTGCTTTTCTTAAATGGGGTTTATGTGATTAATTTAATTAGCTACGAAGAAATAATTTTCAATTTATGTTTTATTTATTTAATTTAATTTTCCCCTTTTTCCTGGTCTTGTGAGAGAAGGAAGCAAACATGTCGTCTCTGAGCAGAGAGCTTGTGTTTTTAATACTTCAATTTCTCAATGAAGAGAAATTCAAAGAGGCAGTTCACAAGTAAGATTTCAATTTTCCAATTTTCTTTTCCGGTTTAATTCAAAATTTCTGGATGTTGACAAATTGAGGAAAACGAATTTAAAAAAGATAATTCTTCACTCTCTTTCACAGAAATTTTTGCAGATTCGCGCTTCAATTTTTGTTTGATGTTTATTTCTTTGGTTCGATTTTCACTGTTAAT